ATTTTTGGTAATAAAAATTATAAGACATGCCCTTGAATATCTCTTTGCAATATTTTTTTGTCTTTAACTTGCAATTATTTATAAGCTATAATATATATACATAACATACAATATATACTACAAGAAAATATATAAGAGAATACATATACATAACATACTATATATACTACAAGAAAATATATAAGGGAATATATATACATAACATACTATATATACTACAACAAATTATATAAGGGAATATATATACATAACATACAATATATACTACAACAAATTATATAAGGGAATATATATACATAACATACAATACATAACATACTATATATAGTATACTATACTAGTATACTATATATATTATATATACATGAAGAAGTAGTATTATATATACTACAAAACAAGATTTTTCAAAATGAGGGCCCCACCCGCAATGACCACCAACGGTCATATTGCACAAATAGCCATTGTTTTTTTCAATTTACAAAACTAACCTTCTCTAACACTATAAGTATCCCCCCCCTCCCTCTTCTTCATTTCAATACTCAATACTCATTTCTCAATCTAAATTTCTCTCAATCTCTCAATCTCCAATTTTCAAGACTTCAAGTCTTAATCTCAATTTTCAAGTTAAATCATGCCTCGTTCGGAAAGAGTGCGCTTATTTGTTTCGCAATACTATGAAGTGCTTCAAGAAAATGAAGAAGGCCAAATATTAAAGTGCAAGAACTGTGGAAGAGTCTTAAATTTTCGTTCAGGGTGTACCACAGGCATTTTAAGGAGGCATATAAAGTATTGTGTTGAGGGTATTTATCCGGAATTCGTCTTTAAGATTTTTCGACAATTTGTGTTATTTTAAAATTATTAGGCGTATTTATGCTTCATGTTGTACTTTGTTATTAATTTATTATGCATGCCAATTTAGTTTTACTATTGTTTTGTTATTTTACTTTTACGTCAAACACTTTATTAATTAGATTTCTATATTATATATACTACATATATTTATATAGCCATGCATAAGAGCAATTTATATATATACATACATATATGGTTTACAAGAAATTGCCTTAAATAAAAAAAATTAAAAAAAAGCCCGAAAATTAAAAAACCCGTTAGGACCGCTAAGCCCACGAGCCCGACCCATTTAGCCCAGGACCATATGGGCTTAGGCCCGTCACGGGCTGGTCCTACCCGTTGAGCCCACGAAGCCCGGGACCGCCAGAGCCCGGGACCGCTAAGCCCAGGCCCGTTTAGCCCATTTAGGCCCGGGCCCGGCCCACCATACAGCCTTACATGTTGTATATAATTGTGTAAATTGTGATTGCTTGAAGACCTCGGATACTTGTGATAAAATTTTGTGAGCATATTGGAGTATGTTGAAACCTAATATTTCATTGAGTTTTTTCATAAATTCGCCTATTTAGTGGATCTCTTTTTGTTCTTGTTATTAATAGAATAGCCACTAAGCATCCTACTTATTGGTATATTAGCTATAAGAAATTGTGGATCCTATCTTGTAGGGACAAGCGTGTTGGGATTGTACCTTTCTTTGTGGTGTAAATGTTAAAATGCAATTGTCATAACTTCATATTGAAATAAAAAGTGTAATGTTTTTGAAATACCTTTACATGTTGGAGTGACACTTGTTAAAATGAAAGATATATTTTCATTTTGTACATTACTTTTAACATAGTGATGGCCAGTCAAAACCTCTCATGTCCAGCAGATGAGGGTAGCGGAAATGAGGATGTTGAGATGGATGTGTGGGCATACTAGGTTGGATAGAATTAGGAATGAAGTTATTCGAGACAAGGTGGGAGTGGCCCCTGTGGAGGCAAAGATGCGTGAGGCAAGGTTGAGATGGTTCGGGCATTTTAAGAGGAGAAGCGCAGATGCCCCTGTCAGGAGATGTGAGAGGTTGGCCTTAGGAGGTGTGAGGAGGGGTAGAGGTAGGCCAAAGAAGTCTTGGGGTGAGGTGATCAGACGGGACATGACGCTACTTGAGCTAACCGAGGACATGACTCTAGATAGAAGGGTGTGGAGGTTGAAGATTAGGGTAGAAGATTAGTAGGTAGTCGTGCATCTCCCTTTGTCTTCTCTAGCTCGATAGTATTAGCGCTAGTTCGGTACACTTTTTTCTTAGTTTTATATATTCGCATGTCTCGTTTCGTTTTTACTTGCCATTGATAATTCCGTAGTTTGCTAGCAGTACTTCGTTCATATTCTCGGTTGCTGCCTTGGAATTAGTTTTCTAAATATGTTATCTTGCTACTACTTGTTATCAGTACGCTTTTCATATTATCTGTTGCTATCTCCGATTTAGTTTTCTAATTATTGTTTTGCTATACTTGCTACTAGGGCTTCTCTCACCTTCTTTAGACGAGGGTCTATCGGAAATAGTCTCTCTGCCCTTCCGGGGTAGGGGTAAGGCTGCGTACATTCTACCCTCCCCAGACCCCACTTGTGGGACCACACTGGGCTGTTGTTGTTGTTTAATTACTTTTAACATAGAATTGAGAAATATTTTCATTTGAGCTTTATTCAAATGGCTGAATCGGTTATGAATACTGTGATTTAATTTAAAGTAGATTTCTTTGAGGCTTTAGGCTATGAATCTATTTTACAAAATACACATATTCTGGGAGTTACTAGTGGAGACCACCGAGTTGGTTCGAATCTTAAATTCATTACCATGAAACTACACCTTCCAATATAGGAAAATATTCCAAGGCTAAGCGAGGTTTGTGGGATAAAGTCACTCCTTTTGTGGGCAATTGATTATTATTAAATGTAATGAGTTTAAGTTGACTCGTACAATATTACAGAAAACCGTCCGAACAAATAAGGTCCAATACTTGTGGCTAGGTTAAACACTTAGTGTTGTTACTATTACATCGGCATTGGCATAATGCTACGCGTTAAATTTAAAATCACATGATTTTGGTTAAACTGAAATGCTAAAGGAAATGAGTTTGAAATATATTTTTACATTATTATTTCATTTTCTTATTCAAGTTGTGAATTGATATAAATGCTTCCTTGCTATATCAATATTTTACATGTCTCCTGATCTTTATTTCCTCTCTTGTCCTACTTTTTGGAGAAATGATTCATGATTCATACTAGGCATGTGGAGCTTAGGCCAATCGGCCAAATTTCTATTTTTGTGTTCAGGCACCGGTCCTAAGTAGTGCTAGCACCGCAGATAGGATATCTCCACATCTCCAACTGATACTTTTGGTGAGGCTCCAGTCTTACTATCGTGGAGTAATATTTGTTTTATACTTTTCATTCAGCAGGGCCTGTCACGATTGACTATTTTCATTCTGTATCATCAAGATCTCATAGATAATAGTAGTTTATTCTTTTGGTAAGCTATGGTTACTCATATGGCATGCATGAATGACTAATTACCTTTATGTTTTTTTTTAATGAAAAAATATATTTTAAAGGTTAAGTTTCATGCATGAATTTTATTGTTTAAAATGCTTATGTTTCGAAAGGCCAATTTTAGCACAATTGACACTGCACGGCAGTAGCCAAACTCTCAGCCACTCAGCCTTACATTTTTTTGTACACAGTTTGACACTTAGAATTATTTTAGACTTGTAAAACGTAAGCAACATACAGTAATACGGGTAAAAACCCAACCTTTATTCTATTCTCGCAGAATATACAAAGGACACTCAGTTGGAAGGCTCACATATGCTACTTGCCTTAGCCAACGAAATACAACACATAAAAGAGGGCTGCCAATGGCAGATTACAAGGGGTAGTCATACAATGTGCCTTACACATGCTAAGCCTAAAAACAAGCATAAAGCCTTAGCCATAAATTGAATTCAAACTTCCCACGAAATGAATCCCTCTTCAGCACTTTGGCCAACTACAACATGTGCGTTACACATGGCTAAACTTCCACATCACATGCACAACACACTGCTTCACAGTCACATGAATTGCACACTTGTTTCACAGCTTTTGTCCACACTTTGCCTTCCTGCCTTACCTTGTCTTTGGACCATGCCTCACCCATAAGCTCATGACCATATCTTGTCATAAACTTTGTCGTCCCACTGATCCGCACGCATGCCTTAGTCAAGTGCCATGCGCCTTCATTTGCCATAGTTGTTGCCCACAATCAAAGCTGCCTTGCCATCACCCAAGACACCTTGCCTAGCTGACTTGCCTAAGTCCATGCACTAACTTAGACACACTTGAATGACATGTCTAGTCAAAACAAAATTATAAAATAAAAGATGTCGAAACACAGCCCAAGAATTTGATGGATACCTTTCTGCATTATAGATCGAAGTTCTAACATAAATATTTGTGCCGACACAGTTAGTGTAGTGGTACAACACATTGAAGGCTTGATATACAACAGAATTGGCATTGTTATAGAGACATTGTTACACCTTTCCGTGAGAGGGAAGAGTCTAGTGCGTATGGCATTTAGAGAAAACTGTAACCAATTATGTTCAGCCAATTATCCTAGTACACTCCGTGAACGAATAACAAGAGCTGATGAGGCAACAAATTGGTTGATTGTGTAACGCTATGGTTCCTGAACCAAAATGTCATCGTTATACTCGGTGCTCTATCATCTCCATCCATAGCTCATTTATTTGAGATGTGACTGACAAGATCTTACAGCACCTTGCATTACCAGTGATACGCGAGAAATTCAGGTGGCTAAAAGGATTTCACTGTTGGTATATTTTATTCCTTGTCAGCTATTATAACAAAAACATCCTTAACTGACCACCTTCTTCTCTCTGTTTTAGCCGGGGGATTGATGATAGCTTTTTCTGCATTAGCAAGACGGTAACCAATCACAATCTCTCTTCTTTGTCGCGCACGTAGGAGCACTTCGTAAAAACTCAACTCCTCACCCTCACAAAGGTAGAGATCTGCCCCTCTTATTTGCAACTCATTTCCCTGCAATATCAAAAGGTTTTTATTAGTCATGGACAACAATAATAACTACAGCCTTAATATAGGTCGCAGAATACTAGCGTGATAGGAAGGGATTGATGCTTCAACATCTAGAGAAACATTGAATACTATCAATTTTTAAAATTTTGAAGCAAGTGATATAACTGTCTCAAGTTTATAAAAATGAGGAATGCATCCTAACTGTGGAAGGTTTGATAACACAACTGAGAGTCAAATGTTGTGAAAGTTTCACATGGTACTTTATTTTTCTGATTCTGCTTCAACTTGGATGTCAGATCCTTTTCAATTTCTTTTTAGGAAAGTATAAACTCTTTATAAGTGGAATATGCTGGAAGAGATGGATTCCAATCAAGGCAGCGTAAAGGGTGTTAAAGCCCTATTTTGGAAATCTACAGCAAAGTGCCTCTTTCTTTCTAATTCCACGGCAAATATGGTTCTTTGGTTTGTTTTTCTGTTTCTAACATCAATAGAGAAAATGGATCTCCAGTATAGCTTGTACTCTTTTATTTTTCACTCTTGTATTTTGTTTTTGTTTTTTCTTTTCTATTTTGATATGTTTAAAGAAATATGTATAGTCTCATGTTACTTGAGTTGTTAGCTTTCCCTAATAAACGGAGTGTTGGATCTCCTATAATACCCGGATGTACATAATCCCTACAAGCTCACTGTCTGCATACTGGATGCTAAGTTGCTCGGACACGGGTGCGGATCTAGAGGTCGGATCCTTCAAGATGTAAATTAAAAGATTCGGGAATACGGATCCTAGTACGGATACGGGTGGGATCCGGCTGAAAATAATTCAAAAAAATAAATATATCCAAATTATGAGAAATAAGCATAGCTTGTAATGTGTGGATTCCTTTTTTAATTCTCAAGTTGTAGATAAGTAAATGATTGATTTCCTAGATAAGGTCATGCTATTTTCTTCAAATTTACCCTAATTTTGGTTCTGATTTCGGGAATCAAATTATATCTCGTCTCAAACTTTTTTATCCGTCGTGGTCAAAGTACCCAAATTTATTTGACCAGATCCGATACAGATCCCATACCCATACCCATACTAGTGTCGTGTCGACAGGGGTGCGGCACCTAAGCTGCAGTGCCGAAGCAACTTAGACCGTGTACTGAGGCAAAATGTGGCTCCTCTAATACTTGAGACAGAGAAAATCAAGAAACCCCGTAAGCATGACTCATGTACTGGGGCAACTTAGACTGTGGACTGGGGCAAAATGTTCCTCTAATACTTGAGACAGAAAATCAAGAAACCCAGCATGACTCATGCCAGTTGCCTCACCTCTTCAGCGAAAAGTTCTTCCAAAACATCATTTATTTGACGGTCCTCTGCCACCATGGCCAATGCCATGCTAACAAGCTCATTTGACAAAACATAGTCACTTATCTTTGACATAGACAAGAGGTTTTTAGTCCTTGGGTCCAAAATTTCACTGATTATAACTGACTTATCTGAAGCCTGCTGCATCTCCTCTCTCCAGGAGCCTTGGGAGGAGCTACCCCTGTGAATTTTGGAAGCCATAGCTTCTCTATATGGAAGGCGTTTTGCCTGCAAAACCAGAAAAAAGATTTCTGAGTGCAAGATCTGATGTCGCAGCTTTAACAAGATAATACAAAAACAATGCCACTTTACGGAAACAGAAATCATGCATCTAAATGAAACTCAATGGGGCAGATGACTTGATTCTTCCTTGAGAAATCTTAGATCTCTGCAGTTAAATTTGGAAAAATTTCTAATCGTTCAATAGGTAAGAGGACTTGTACTTCCATTCCTGATCCTGTCAATAGTGTCCTTCATTGAGTAAAGTAATATCGGGGTCCAAGGTTACTTATCAAGAGCAAACTACCGGTTCTGTTGAGGGAACACTCCAAAATTTGCACATGAATGTAGTAATACTGCTGAGAAGAACCCATGCCAGAAAGGAAATAATGCAGGTGGTTGATGACAGAGACTGACAAATCAGTCATGAATTATGAGGCAATCTGATCGGTTAGACATGGGGGACAGGGAAAAAGAAAACAGAACCTGATTGAACTTGGAAACTTGAAATATACTACACATAAAATTTTAGAAAGGTGTAATTTTCCACTTGGTTGGCAAGGAGAGGAGCTATACTGAGCTGAAAATTTGAGAAAAAAGCAGATTATATGTCAGCTGGTTCTTCATGTGCAAATGTCCAGGTGAAGATGTGGACAACCAACCCCTACATTTGTTCGGTGGCAATTCGCTTATGGTGTGAGATTTCGAATTAGGTTTGGGACGCAGTGATGACGCCCCGCACAGTGAAGGAGGTACTCTCCAGCTGGAAATTCACAAGGAAAATTTTTTGAAGAGCTTGGTATGTTGCTCCACTAGCACCCATATGGGTCCTGTGAACGGAAGGAAATGAGAGACCTTTTGGTGGGATAGAGAAAAAGCTTTTGACAGGATAGAGAACAACTACGTACATTTGAGGAATAGCCTCTCATTCCTAGTTTATTTTTGGTGTACTCATGAGGTTACAGGGTGTATAGTAGACTGGATGTCATTCGGAGAGAATCATATTATGTCATATACTAAACGACATGAAACAACATGGATCTATTTTTTTGTGAAAATCATTGTACAGGAGAGTTTCTATCTCTTTCTCTTCTTATGTCAGATTAGAAATTCTACAAGGAGTCCTCCTTATTTCCTTTTTTGTGCCTTGTTGTTAGATTAGCACTAGGATCAAATGTAAATAGTGAAACTTCTAGCAAGAAGAAAAGGCTTCTCGTATTTCTATGATGATTGCTACATCCCATGAACAAGGGAATTTATATAAAGTTCCCACTCATAACTTTTTCTTTGACGAAGTGTCTGAGCAATTTCAACACGTCATACTGGATTGGATAATGAGTTATACTGATGGCAGCCTTGTTGTCACAATATAAGGAAAGTTTTCCCTTTTTAGACAGTCTCAATTCCTCTAGTAACTTTTGCAGCCAAAGAAGTTCACAAACACCCTGGGTCATAAATCTATTCTGCTCTCGCACTTGATATAGCAACTACACTTTGCTTCTTGCTTCTCCAATTAAGTAAGTTCCCTCTAACGAGTGTACAGTAACCGAATGTAAATGTTCTGTCATCTAGGGATCCAGCTCAATCAACATCTATATACGCTTCTACCTGGAGGTGATCATGTTTGGAGAAAAGTAGACCTTTGCTCGGAGCAAACTTCAGATACCGTAAAATGTGAAAGACAACTTGCATATGAGGATCTCGGGGATCATGCATTAACTGACTTATCAAGCTGACTGAATAGGCTATATCTGGTCTAGTGTGGAAAAAATGAATAAGTCTTCCAACCAGCCTCCGATATTTCTCCTAATCAACAGACTCTCCAACTCATGTTTGTAACTTGTGATTGTTTTCAAAAGGCAATTCTGCTAGTTTGCATTCTGTAACTTGCCGGGGGTCTATCGGAAACAACGTCTCTACCTTCTCTACCTGCACATGGTAGCGGTATAGTCTACATACACACTACCCTCCCCTGACTCCACTTATGAATTTCATTGGGCATGTTGTTGTTGTTGAAAAATAAAGATTCCCTTTTTTGATCTGCCAACCTCAATTCCTACAAAATACTGCAATTTTCCAAGATCCTTGATCTCAAATTCCTGTGCCAACAACTTCTTCAATCGGACACTCCTTGTTGTCATCTCCTGTCATTACTATGTCATCAACATAAACTATGACAAGAGGACTTTATTGCTTTGATGTCTTATGAAGAGAGTACTATCGGCATTGCTTTGTTGGAAACTAAAGGATGTCATTGCTTTGCAGAACCTGTTAACTCAAGCTCTAAGGGATTGCTTCAATTCGTATAGGGCTTTATTCAGCCTGCACACCTTTCCTTAACTCTGTTCAATATCAAATCTAGGAGGAATCTCCATATACACCTCTTCTTCATAAGTCTGAGTAAATCTCTTAGCCACCAATCTTGCTTTGAATTTTTTAATTGAGCCATCAACTTTGTGTTTCATAGTGAAGACCCAATTGCAACCAACAAACTTATTATCTGGTGATGAGGTGACATATTCCAAAGTCTTATTTTTCGACAACGCCTTCATTCCTTCAATCTTAGCTTACTACCATTTAGGATCTGCAAAAGCTTCCCTCCTATTTTAGGGAATAGACACACATAAAAAGGCAAAGGCTCTATAGAAGGGAGACAAGGAATTAAAGAAACAAAATTACACAAATGATGTTTGGTACAAGATCTGATTCTTTTTGTAAGAAATAGAGAAATCTAACTTATTAAGAAATGTAGATAACTCATCAGTAAAAGAGGGTTCAGCTTTGGCAGATTGCATGATGGCTTCTTCTGCTCTATTTTTACTTGAGTCAGTTTTTAAATCAGGTCTATCCAAACGCCCAATAGTCTCCCTAAATTCTTTCTCCAATTTAACTTTCCTCATGGTAGTAGTAGTGGTTTCAACAGTAGAACTTGGAAAAATCATCTCTTCCTCCTTATAGCTCTTTCTCCTCCCCCCCTCCCAAAAGAGATGATGGTGTAACATTTGTACTCTTTTTTGTGTTGGAGAATATCCAATAAAGACATATTTAAGAGCTCTAGGATCAAGTTTTCCACTATTCCTAGTGTGGACAACAAAGCAGACACACCCAAATACGTTCAAAGGAACAATATAATCATTCTTACCCTTTAAGTGGCATTCCATTGATGAGATAGGCAGCTTCTAGAATGCCAACCCCCCATAAGGATTTGGTAAATTAATGGTAAACATAAGATATCTTGCCACTTCTAATAAATTTCTATTTTTTCTTTCGCAACCCCATTTTGTGCAACTAGTACGGTTTGATGGATTATCTCATAATACTCCAAATAAGCAACAAAAGTTTTATCCATGTATTCTATGGTATTGTCAGATCACAAGATTTTTATCTTAGCCTCAAATTGAGTACAAATTATCTTATAAACTGATTGAAAGCAGGAGAAAACATAAATTTTGGTCTTTAACAAATATACCCAAGTCATCCTAGTGCAACAATCAATAAAAGTAACAAATTGTCGACTACCAAACAGAGAAACTATTTGAGTAGGACCATGTACATCAGAATGAATAGTTCAGAAAGGAATTGTACTTTTATTATCACTCAAAGGAAAATAGTTTCTAGTATGCTTGGCATATTCACAAGCATCACAAGACAAAGATTTAAACTCGATTTTGAAAAATAAACTTAGGATATAACTTCTTTAAAGCAAAAAATAATAGGTGCCCCAACCGTCTATTCCGCCGTATTATTTTTTGTTTGATATCCTTATTTCCTCCAAAAATGCTTGACCAAGAGTCTCAAGTTCCATCAGTCAAATTTAAGTTATCATACAATCCACCACTGTCAATCCTCTTCCTTGTTTGAAGATCCTGAAAAACACAATGATAGGAAAGAACTCGACACTATAGTTTAGTTTTTGGTGATGGCACTACCAGATAACGGGTTAACAGGAAACTCAGGTACATGGAGAATGGATGATAATGCATTATCAGGTGTACAGACAACAGAACTTGTTCCAGAGACAGGAGTTAAGTAGCCATTGGCTATTTTGACAAAATCCTTTTTGGGACTAGGAGAGTAGTTTTGAAAGCCTTAAGAGGAGCCTGCCATGTGTCTATTCGCACCAGAATCGATAATCCAAGAATTAATGCGAACATTAAAGGCAATACCTGACTGCACATAATTGGAAGTGACAACATTAGAAGAGTCAATTTTGTTCAAGAGACGACAAAGATGCCGAACTTCATCTAAGACAGTTTCTCCAAAAGCAGTTTACTTGGATGTCTCCACATTTTCTGCAATATTAGCCTGACCTTTTAGCAGAGCTACACGATTTCCCCCATGACTTCTAGTTGGTCTACCATGTAGTTTTCAGCATGTTTCCTTTGTATGGCTTGGCTTTCCACAACAATCACAGTGCAGGTGATCTTTTTTAGAGGTGGTTGCCCTTGGTTGCTCAAGAAACACAACTAACCCAAACTTCTCAGTTAGTGTTGAATAAAACATGACCACTGGTCGACTCTCTTCTTGTTGAACATAAGAATATGCATCCTCCCAAAAAGGAAAACGAGTTTTACAAGAACTTGAACCCTGATCTGATCATACTCTTGATTCAAACCGTCCAGAAAATCATTGACCCTTTCTTTTTAATCAATTTTTGAAAGAGAACTTCATCATTGATACACTTTGCTTGGAGATCCTGATAGTAGTCAATCTACTGTCATAACCCACTTAACTCAGAAATAGTAATCAGTGATAGTCAACTCACCTTGCTTAGTGGCATGAATTTTATTTTGAATCTCAAAGATCTACGCATCATTCCCTTACGAGAGTAAGTTAGCCTAGTTGAATTTTAGATTCTTTCAATAGTATCAAGCAATAAATATTTCTTAGAGATTTGGGCTCTTCTCACCTCGTCCCCCGATCCCCCCCCCCCCCCCAAATGCCAAGGACTGGACAGCTAGAGAGCGAGCAATATAATGTAACGGTCCAACATCAAGTTGGTATGGGTCATGCTGTGATAACATGAAGATCTCTAGCAAGAAGAGATTTCTGTGATGATTGCTACATCCCATGAACAAGGAAATTTATACAAAGTTCCTATTACTAATTAAGGAAACTATATAAATCAGCACAATTAGTATACAACCAATACACCTATCAAATCCCTAAATCAAACAACCAAATAAAAAAAAATCTTCCTAAAAGTAAAACCAATCAACAAATAGTTGTGACATGTATTGTTACACTAGAGGATTCTTTTATAAGCTTCATCGATGAAAAGTGTTGGGCCTGTCTAACACTCGCTTAGGATTTGAGGAGATAAGGTTCCATATTCCCCTCCTTTATGTATTTATTTTTGGATTTTAATATACAAGGTAGGGGCCAATACCAAATCCCCAGCACCACAGGCCAAGATAGCCAATTGGTGAATTTGGCTTTACATAAAACAAAACAACAAAACATGAGACATTAATAGAAGTAAAGGGGCACAAAATAACATAAATGTGGCACTGGAAAAGATATAAAATAACCCTTCCACAAAGCACCTGAATGTCTCGTATTAACAGTAATGTGGCAAGTGATCTGGAATCAGCCTGAATTGCGGAATCTTCCACTGACTCATCAGCCAAAATTAAGATCTACACAACAACAAAAAAATAAGAACAGTGGAAACTTAGAAGGGAAGACAAAAGATTCGCAGAAGAGATAAGATAAGAACAGCAATACAAGTTATAAAAAACACAATATGAGCAGGAACACCAGCAAGCCCACCCAACTTCCCACCCATTCTAGCAGAAGAGAGTAAAGGATCCAATCCTTCTGAGTGTCGTTAACATCAGCACACAATCACTTCATTCTACCTAAACTGCATCTTTGGGCATAGTTAGCAAATCTTACTCACCGAGCCAAATGATTCTAAGGGAAGACTTTCTAGATGTCGTCGTATCACAGCATTACCCTCGCGGTTTACCAGTATTATGTTTGCCAGCCGGCTAATATCTAGGCCACCATCTGTAAGCTTCTTTTCTCTTTCCTTCTCGCAAACTTCATTGAACATCCACAACTCTGACCCATGAGCTAAGAAGGCATCCAATACCTAGAATGAACAGCTGAGGTTGTTGGAGTTACAGAGCATCATTTTAAAGATCTTAAATACTTTGTTTTTTTTTCTTGGCTTCTTTCATCAGTCTCTGGAACTAAGAGATGGAATGAGAAAATATTCAGATATTAGAAAACATGGAAGCAAATATACAGTCTGAAAGGAGGTAGGAAGATATGGAAAACAAGCGAGGGATCTCTACCGCCATAATCTATAGACAAATGCTTGCATGAGTAAGGAAAGTATACAGTTAGCTCCTCACAAGATTACCAGTATCATATCCTCCATATCTCGTCGCCAACCACAAAACAGAATCCGTTCTGTAGTCTTTGGAATAATTAAGTTCTTTGGCAAGTTTCCTCCCTGAACCTGCAGAATTCAGATTAAATGAAAAGGAATTAGGAGCTTTGATTCAAACTCACCACAATCATATCATCAATGTCTCGTCTCCATCCGGTAAGTAGGATCTTCTGTGGCTTTCTTGTTGGTCGGACAATGTGCATCAAAGATGCTTCTTTGACCTGAATAACCAAATTAATTAAACCTTAAAAAGTCTATTCATGCCATGTTCTGCTTACTTGGAATACCCTCTCAATTGCAAAGCAGAAGAGAATTTCCTTCAAGTGATCCACTGAAACAATAAAGTTGTCGAGTTTTTCCTCTCAACTTTTAAGTAAGCTTTTTCATGATTATCATGAACCTAATAAAAGCTTTTTCTTGTATTCTGAGAGGTTTGCTAATTTTTTTATCCAAGCTCAATTTTCTCTGCAGCACGAAAATATCCAATCTAATTTAAGGCGGTCCAAAGTCATAACCTAGATTCTGTTATGTTGATTAGCATGATTCAAGGAGATTTGATTTAGGAGTCTTGATAAGCATGATTTCAGGAGATTTGATTATATTTAGGAGATCTAATTTTATTTTATTTGATTTGATAGCTAGATTGATTGTATAGATTTATTTTATTTCCTTAATTAGCATTAGGAGCTTTGTATAAATTCTCTTACTCATGGGATGTAAATACACACAGAAATATAAGAAGCATTTTCTTCTTCTCAAAATCTACATGGTATCAGATCCATTCCTGCCTTTTTGAGGTGAGTTATATCTCTCGCAGCACTAGGATCCGTTTTTATCAAAGAGGTAGAGGTCTGGTCAGTTTTATTTTTGGACTCCTTTCTATTAGGGTCGTTGGAACATTCCGAGCCTATCCCTACCGTTTTGATTTTTCCGTTCACCGGAACTAAGGTTCGCTCGAGACAGATTTGGTTTTCAGCGAGGCAGATTATTTTTGAGCAATTTTCTTCAGATTTCTTTCTGATTGGCCAGCATGAGATTCAGCTTCTCCGTCGCCTCCTAGCCAAACTTGACTCCACTAATTTTGCCACATCCAACCATGTGCACTCAGGTACTGCCTTTGCTGCTCACCTTAATTCTTGGATAGTTGATTCTGGTGCAAACAGACACATGATAGGCTCTTCTAAAGGCATTCAAAATTATTCTCCGTGTTCCAAAGGAGATAATGTTAAAATAGCCAATGGTTCTTTAACACCTATCTCTGGAACAGATTCTGTCATTTGTACTCCTAATATTAAACTATCATCCGTGCTCCATGTCCTTGAGTTCCCTGTCAATCTTTTATTTGTTAGTGCCATCACCAAAGCTCTAAACTATAAAATCGAGTTCTTTCCCGATCATTGTGTTTTTTAGGATCTTCAAACAGGGAAAATTGGCCGTGGTAGATTGCGTGATGACCTGTATATATTAGATGGAATTCAAAACTCTGGTCAAGCCTTTTTTTGGGGAAAGCAAGGATGTCAACCAAGAAATAATACAGTGGCATAGACGGTTAGGACACCCATCATTCTTTGTTTTGAAGAAGTTATATCACGATTTGCTTTCAAGGACTCGATTTGAATCTTTGTTTTGTGATGTGTGTGAATATGCCAAGCATACTAGAAACTCTTATCCTGTGAGTGATAATAGAAGTACAACTCCGTTTATGACTATTTATTCTGATGTATGGCTACCGAAACTGTTTTTTTGTCTGGTAGTCGAGGGTTTGTTACTTTCATTGATTGCTGAACTAGGATGACTTGGTTATATTTGTTAAAAGCCAAAAGTGAAGTTTTCTCTTATTTTCAGTCATTTTATAAGATGAAATTGTACTCAGCTTGATGCCAAAATAAAAATCTGGCAAATTGATGGCAGTGAATACATGGGATAAAAGATTTGGTGCTTATTTGGAGTCCAATGGGATAATCCATCAGACTAGTCCTTACACAACATGGGGTCGCTGAAATAAAAAATAGGCATCTGTTAGAAGTAGCAAAATATCTTATCTTCACCATGCATCTACCAAAACCTTACTGCTGGATGCTATTTTAGCAGCTGCCTATCTTATCAACAGAATGCAACTTAAACCCTCAATTTTCAAAGTCCTCTGAAAGTTTTGTAACCTAACACAATTTTGGACCAACTTCGCCACCAATTTTGTGACTTTGTAATGATTTAATCCAATCATGTCTCGCGGAATTGATGTTTTTGGTTCTAAAAACAGTGGAGTTGGTAATTCAGCCTTTATGATTACTTCTGAACCCTTACTTGGAAGTTCAAATTATTTATCTTGGGCTTCGTCTGTGGAGTTGTGATATAAAGGTCAAGGTGTTCAAGATCACTTAACCAAAAAGGCTAGTGAGGAAGATGAAAAGGACAAAGCACAATGGGAAAAGATCGATGCCCAGTTATGTAGTATATTGTGGTGATCTATTGATTCCAAGTTGATGCCTTTGTTTCGTCCGTTCCAAGCATGTCATTTAGTTTGGGAAAAGGCTCGTACTTTATACGCTAATGACATATCTTGTTTCTTCGATGTGATATCGCGGATGACAAATTTGAAGAAACGGGAATTGGATATGTCGACTTACTTGGGACAAGTACGGGCATTCATGGAGGAATTTGAGAAGTTGATGTTGTTGTTAAAGCATCAAGAGTAATGACAAAAGATGTTTCTAGTTCTTACACTCACTGGACTTCCTAATGACCTTGATTCAGTGCGTGACCACATTTTGGCTAGTCCGACTGTCCCACAGTTGATGAACCATTCTCTCGATTACTTCGCCATGCTGCAGCGCTCAGTCACATAGTGATCTCATCACAGACAGCTAGCTGACTCCTCTGTTCTCGCACCCCAGACAGTGGAAAATCGGGTATCTCATATTATGGAGAATAGATGAGGAGGATGTCCGTTTGGAAGGTCTCGACCCAGGTATTCTTATTGTAATAGACGTGGACACACTGTGAGGTGTGTTACTCCTTGCATGGTCAACCACCTAAAAATGCTCATATTGCTCAATTAGAGACTGCAGGTAACAAGAGGTTTTCTTTATCTGAAGGGGAATATAATGAGTTCCTTCAGTATCGAGCAAGTAAGCAAACACCTCCACGGATGTAGTATTGTTTATTCACAGTCTCTTTTCAGTGTTACTTTAGCCAATGGAGTCCAAACAAAAGCAAAAGGAGTTGGACAAGCTAATCCATTATCCTCTGTCACTTTAGAGTTTGTTCTTTATGTCCCTGGTTGTCCTTTTAATATTGCATCGGTTAGTCGGTTGACTCGTGTCCTCCGTTGTGGTATATACTTTATTGATGACTATTTTGTTATGCAGGACCGGAGTACGGTACAGACGATTGGCACAGGGTGTGAATCACAAGGCCATTACTACCTTGACTCACTCAATCCTTCCCCAGAATGTCCAGTTACAGATTCTCCGGACCTAATTCACAGACGTTTAGGACATCCAAGTTTATCCAAGCTTCAAAAGATGGTGCCTAGTTTATCACTTTATCTAGTTTGTCTAAATTAGATTGTGAGTCGTGTCAACTTAGGAAACATACCCGAGCCACTTTTTCGCATAATATTGAGAGTCGTGCAGAGTCTGTTTTTTCTTTAGTTCATTCTGATATATGGGTACGAGTAGAGTAAGTTCAACCTTATGATTTCGTTATTTTGTTAGTTTCATTGATGATTACTCAAGATGTACTTGGATTTTCCTAATGAAAGATCATTCTGAGTTGTTTTCTACATTCCAGAGTTTTTGTGCTGAAATAAAAAATCAGTTTGGCATTTCTATTCCGTATCTTTCGTAGTGATAATGCCTTAGAATTCTTATCCTCTCAATTTCAACAGTTTACGACTTCACAAGGAATTATTCATCAGACATCTTGTTCGTATACCCCTCTGCAGAATGGGGTAACAGAGAGAGAAAAAAAACCTTATTGAGACTGCTCGCACACTTCTAATTAAGTCTCATGTTCCGCTGCGTTTTTGGGGCGATGTAGTTCTAGATTAATCGGATGCCTTCATCTTCCATCCATAGTCAGATTGTATTTGGTATTATTTCCCCAATCACCCTTATACTCTCTTCCCCCTCGTATGTTTGGGAGCACATGTTTCGTTCATAACATAACTCCGGAAAAAGATAAGTTAGCTCCCCGTGCTCTCGAGTGTGTCTTCCTTAGTTATTCTCGAGTTCAAAAGGAATATCGCTGCTACTCACCTGATCTTCGTAGGCCTTATGTCAGCCGATGTCACATTTTTTGGGTCTCGACCTTACTTCACCTCTTCTGATCACCTTGATATATCTAATGTCTTACCTATACTGACTCTTGAGGAGTTTACTATAACTCCTTCTACATCTTCCGCCATAGAAGTCTTACCCATACTGACCATTGAGGAATCTAGTGTTGCTCCTACTAGATCCCTAAACACAGGAACACCTCTTTTGGCTTATCATTGGTGTCCGCATCAGGCCCAACTGATTAATGTCCTGCACCTGACCCTGCTCCTACTGCGGATTTGTCTCCTCTTATAGCCTGTTTGGCTAAGCTTTTTTTGGGCCAAAAGTGCTTTTGTTTGGCCAAAAGCACTTTTGGCAAAAAATTAAGGTGTTTGGCCAAGCTTTTGGAAGGAGAAAAGGTGCTTTTCAGGAGAAGCAGAAGCAGTTTTGGAGAAGCAAAAAAAAGTAGCTTCTCTCCAAAAGCACTTTTCTGAGAAGCACTTTTGAGAAAAATACACTTAGAAGCAGTTTTCAAAAGCTCGGCCAAACACTAATTATTGCTCAAAAGTGTTTTTCTAATTAATTAGCCAAAGACAAACTACTTCTCACCAAAAGCACTTTTTTTAAAAGTACTTTTGAAAAAAATACTTCTCAAAATAAGCCGATTTTAGAAGCTTGGCCAAACGGGCTATTAGTCAACCAATTGCACTTCGAAAAGGTACACGAACCATACTTAATCCTAATCCCCATTACGACGGATTAAGTTATCATCGTCTATCATCACCCCATTATGCGCTTGTATCTTCTTTGTCCTCTGTTTCCATCCCTAAGTCTACAGGTGAAGCATTGTCTCATCCAGGATGGCGACGAGCTATGATTGACGAGATGTCTGCTTTACATACTAGTGGTACTTGGGAGCTTGTTCCTCTTTCTTCAGGTAAATCTACTGGTTGTTGTCGTTGGGTTTATGCAGTCAAAGTTGGTCCGGATGGCCAGGATGATCGACTTAAGGCCCCTCTTGTTGCCAAAGGATATACTCAGATATTTGGGCTAGATTACAGTGATACTTTCTCTCCCGTGGCTAAAATAACATCAGTCCGCCTCTATCCATGGTTATTGTTCCATGTTCGCCATTGGCCTCTCTATCAATTGGACATTAAGAATGATTTTCTTCACAGTGATCTTGAGGACTAAGTTTATATAGGGCAACCACCTTGTTTTGTTGTTAAGGGGAAGTCTAGTGGTCATGTATGTCGCTTGTGCCTGTCACTTTATAGTCTAAAGCATTCTCCTCGAGCCTGGTTTGATAAGTTCAGCATAGTTATTCAGGAGTTTGGCATGACTCATATTGTAGCTGATCACTCTATATTTTATCAGCATTTTGTTTCAAATCTTGTATTTATCCGGTGGTTTATGTTGACGATATTGTTATTACCGACAATGATCAGGATGGTATTACTAAGTTGAAGCAACATCTCTTTCAACACTTTAGACAAAATAGTTGCGGATTCAATAACGTGCAAATACCTGAAGGTATGTCAAAACCTATTGACACTGTGATGGATCCAATTTCTAAATTAAATGATAGGTTATAAGCGGCTGGTTGGTAAATTAAATTACCTCATAGTGACTAGACCTGAACTTTCCTTTCCTGTGAATGTTGTAAGTCAATTTATGGTTCTCCCTGTGATAGTCATTGGGATGCAATCATCCGCATTCTTCGGTATGTAAAGTCAGCTACAGGCAAAGGGTTATTGTTTGAGGATCGAGGCCATGAGTAGATCGTTGGATACTCAGATGCTAATTGTGCAGGAACACCTTCTGATAGACGTTCTACGTCTGGATATTGTGTTTTGGTTGGTGGTAATTTTGTGTCTTGGAAGAGCAAGAAATACTGAAATAGAATGTGGTTCCTCGGTCTAGTGCAGAAGCAGAATATCGAGCAATGACTATGGCAACATGTGAACTAGCTTGGATCAAACAGTTGCTCAAGAAGTGGAAATTTGGTGAAATCAGCCAGATAGAACTTGTGTGTGGTAATCAAGCTGCCCTTCATATTGTGTCAAATCTAGTGTTCCATGAGAGAACTAAACACATTGAGATTGTCTATCACTTCGTCAGAGAAAAAACTCTCAAGAGACATTGCTACAAAGTTTGTGAAGTCAAATGATCAGCTGGTCCTCGTATTTGTTACATATGTAACAAGCTAGATGTATACGATTTGTATGCACCGGCTTCAGGGGAGTGTTAGATAGTTATGTATAAATAATCCTAGTCTCGTGTGTAGTAGGAGTAGAACATGTATTATATATGGGACTCATTATATCAATGTTAATAAATCAATATAATATTTTTCTCCCATGCGTTCTCACAGTCTGCACTAGAAATTTTGGGAAACTTGATCCTAGAGCTATAAAGTGTGTTTTCATTGGGTATTCTCCGACACATAAAGGTTACAAATATTATCATCCTCCCTCTAGGAGAGCTTTTCTTAGCATGGATATTATCTTTCGAGAATCTGAGCCCTATTTCAGTATTACCTCATCACCTCTTCAGGGGGAGAGCAGTAAGGAGGAAGAGGTAATTCTACCTACTTCCATTACTGACCTCTTGATGACATCGTCACAGGGGAAAGTGAAATTGGATAAAGAATTCAGGGGGAGACTATTGGGCGTTCGGATAGGCCTAATTTGAAAACTTACTCAAGGAGAAATGGAGCAGACAATCTACCGAAACTGAACCCGGTGAGTTATCTATATTTGCTAATGAGTTAGATGTGCCTATTGCTCACAGAAATGGAGTCAAAATCTTGCACAATCAAATACCCTTTATCTAATTTTATCTCCTATAATTCTTTGTCTCCCTCCTATAAAGCCTTTGCCTAGTCTATTTCTTTTTTGTCTATTCCCCAGGATTGGAGAGAAGCTTTTGCAGATCTTAAATGGAAGCAAGCTAGGATTGAAGAAATGAAGGCCTTGTCAAAAAATGAGACTCGGGAACTTGTCACTTCACCACTAGACAAGAAGTTGGTTGGCTGTAAATGGTCTTCACTGTGAAGCACAAAGCTGATGGCTCAATTGAATGATTCAAAGCAAGATTGGTTGCTTAGGGATTCACTCAGACTTATGAGTGGATTATCAAGAGACATTTGCCCTATTGCTAAGATGAACACTATTAGAATTCTTGTCTTGTGCAGCTAATCTTGATAGGGACTTGCAACAATTTGATGCGAAGAAATCATTTCTTCATGTAGACTTAGAAGAAGAGGTGTATATGGAGATTCCTCATGGATTTGATATTGCACAGAGTCAAGGAAAGGTATGCAAATCGAAGAAAGCCTTGTACGGACTGAAGCAATCCCCTAGAGCTTGGTTTGACAGATTCAGCAACACAACGATCTCCTTTGGTTACCAACAAAGCAATGTTGATCACACTCTCTTCATAAGATATTAAACGAGTAAACTCACTCTTCTCATAGTTTATGTTGATGACATAGTAATAACCGGAGATGACAAAGAGGAGATGGCACGAGTAAAGAAGTTGTTGGCACATGAATTTGAGATCAAGGATCTAAGAAAATTGCAGTACTTCTTGGGAATTGAGGTTGCTAGATCCAAAAGAGGAATCTTTATTTCTCAAAGGAAGTATATTCTGGACCTCTGCAGATCCGTAGAATCGCCCATTGAAAGCAATCACAAGTTACAAAGCGGAGTTGGCACATGACAAAAGATCAATATCTGCTTATTGTATGCTCGTAGGAGGAAACTTGGTTACTTGGAGAAGTAAGAAGCTAACTGCAGTTGCTAAATCAAGTGCGGAGGCAGAATATAAAGCTATGGCACAGGGTGTTTGCAAACTGTTTTGGCTACAAAAGCTACTACTGGAATTGAGACTGTCTGAAAAAGGAAAACTTTCCTTGTACTGTTACAACAAGGCTGCCATCAGTATAGCTCATAATCCAGTCCAGCATGACCAAACAAAGCATGTGGAAATTGATCACACTTCATCAAAGAAAAAGTTACAACTAGTGTGTTGAGTTTGTTTCATGTGCCATCGAAAAAACAGCTAGCTGATGTGTTTGCCAATGGTCTCAACAAGCGAACTTTCTATACATTGAGTTGCAAGTTGGGCATGTGCGACATCTTTGCACCAACTTGAGTGGGAGTGTTGATTAGCATGATTCAAGGAGATTTGATTTATGAGTGTTGGTTAGCATGACTTCACGAATAGCTGGATTGATTGTATGGATTTATTTTATTTCCTTAATTAATATTACGAGTTTTGTATAAATTCCCCTGCTCATGGGATGTAAACAAACACAAAAATATAAGAAGCCTTTTCTTCTCAAAATCTACATGTTGACTATAATAAACATAGAATGCAGTTCATCTCATCTAAATAGAAGTCAAGCAAAAGGTTCTCGACAGTCAACATATATCTAAATCTGAAGTCACACCAAAAGACCACCCTTTATATTGATGATTACGCTATTCATTCACTTTTTCATCATCATTATAATTTGCAATTTGGGTTGACTACGTTTTCAAGCAGGAAACAAGTGAAGATAGTTATATTAAGAAGAGGGTAAGCACCATAGGCAGTGGTGCTGGAGCATATGAGTCATCATCCTCAGCAATAACAAGGACCTCATCTCCTTCTTGCAACAGATAGGAATCATCGGGATTCAGTATTATTTTTCCACCTGATGATGCCACCTTGATGCCACAAGGAATAGCATCAGGAAAACTGATTAGGACTTCTTCAAATTGCATGCCATGAAACTGTGGCCATTTCTTGATGTAGAACTCGCAATTCTCAAATCCAAGGATGTCTTCCCATATCTGCCATTGCCAAGTCCATAGAGAAAAAAATTTGATTCATTGACACAGATAGTATTTCCTCTCCTACTCAATTTGGTAGCAAGGTTTAAATTAGACATTAGTCACAAAGCAAATTTGATCATAGCTAAGAAGCTGACCTGTGCAAGGCCTGGCTGTCGAGCACATTGGATCATTAATCGCCCAATTACGTCATGAGCCACCACAGTTTCAACAAGATCTCCACCAACAAGTTTCACAAGAACCTCATTATCTAGATCACTGAGTTCAACCACTATGTGCCCCCGAAGACCTTCCTTTACTCCTGTCAGGCTTAAAACTGTCCTCAGAGCACGGGCATCACTCTACATAATAAATTTTTTATTAATACCTAACTACAATTTTCAATCCTGAAAATGAGTTACTAAAAATAGTTATTGCTCTGACCTGGTCAGCATTCCCATCTTCAGCAAGGACAACTATTGCACGAGCCTTAGAGACGGACACCTAATAAAGATTTATCTAGTGAGTTCAAAAAGTTATTTAACTTACAAATTCTGGAAAACTACAGGAGCATTCTCTAAACAATCAAACCATGAGAAAAGAAGTGGGCTCTTGATGAGAAGCTGTTTAAACTCAGAGAGTGAAACACTAGCAAAATTTCAGGATAAAGCATTGAGAATCAGATCTCTAAAATAAAAATTACATTCTATACCAATGTGAAACAGGGAACGAAAGGTCTTTTAAGACATAATTTATGTTTGGAAACAAAACTTAATGCATACCTTTTTCAGGTCAGCCAGAATCAAGGGGCTTCCACTTCTACATATGACAGAAGTTCCTCTAAAATCAAACTCCATTTTAGCAATATCAAGTTCCATCTCTTCTTTGTCTCGCTCAGCCATGACTACAACTGTTCCACCCCCCAAACTCTCATTAGCTATTGCGAGTTGATTCAGCAATGATCCCTGGGTATACAGATGTACTCTTTGTGAATAAGGCCGTTAATTCTCTGAGGCACTTTATATTGTCCAAAATATACAGATCTATTAAGAGATCTCCAGCAAATATCAGTAATACTCAGCTGCACTATGTAAATAAGTTTTTTGCAAGCCCAACTAATCAAAGTTAGATGATAGTTTTCAATTGTGTTCCAATTGCTTCAATAATAATGACGACTGTTGTCCTGGTAATCTCGTTATTGTCATGGAGCATGGTCAATAATAGGGAAAGGACAATCAATAAAATTAATGTGGTTGTCTCCAATTGAAAGAAAAACAAGATTGACCAGGACAATAATTGGAGCAATAAAGTTAATGTGGTTCTTCTGGTTCTACTACATTCACTTGAAAATTATTATAGAAAGAAAAGGAAAATTCAAATCTTTGGAGCTTCATCTCATTTTCTTGGAGTAGTGATAGGGATATCTTAAGCAATTTAGAGAGGGCTTTTGAACAATGCAAAATAAGATAACCCCTACTAGGTAGATTGTGATGCAGATCAGGTGCTAAAAACAGTTTGAGGGCAGTTACCTAGGGAAAGGGAAAACATATGAGCTTGTCAGAAAACAGACTAGTAAATTTACAAAACCCACCAGCTTATCACTCCAACCAAGTATAAGTGTGTGATTCTGCTCAACTACTTCACTTCTTCCCTTCCTGAGTGAGTCAAATTTCTCTGAGATTGCATCAGAAACTAGTCCAAGCATCATGGCAAATATCAGCATTCCACCGAAACTAACAGAAACTGACACTAGACGAGGCCCAATGCCCTCAGAATTAGTATGATTTCCTGAATTTGCAACATATGTCCATGATAACCAAAGGCAGTTTGCTATGCTATCATCTGTCACGCCAAAAAGTGCTAAGCCACCAAGAGAAATCAGGAGCAAAGTGGCAATTAACAAGGTTAGTGGTTTAGCATAAGGATGAAATGATAAGAATACATCCACCCGGTAAGCTAGCCGCTTGTTCAGAGATAATTCCTCCGTCGTATTGTCCAGCGGTCTTCTAAGGTTGGAGATATACTCCATATATTTAATAAAAACAAGAGGAAGGGAAAACATCATGAGTGAGAGAATCAATGCCGTATTTTTCAAACTTGCACTGGAACTATTATGTTCTGGCGTTGAGTCAATAATGCCAATAGAATCTGAAATGTTGCAGTGTCTCAATCTGGCATTGAGCGTTGAAAATTCATCCTGAATAACAGGAAGGAAAAGAGAAACAGGTAGACAGTTAGGGGACTGATCCAGTAATATCTTCCATGTATGTCAGCCAAATTATACTTCTCAAAAGCCCAGATTTATAGCATCAATATAATTGCACATGCGAAAAGTTACGAGAAAGTAAATTAAGCACACTTAAGTCAATTAATAACTGAAAAGGGTGAATGCTATACATTCGTACGGTTTCTTTTCATGGATAGTACTTGAGTTGGACTTGGAGGATGATCTGGAAAGTAAGAGCTCCACCTAAAGTAGCTATTTCAAGAGTCTTGTTTGACACTAAGTAACTCACAATGAAGAGGCTACAGTGTGTGCAGCAGATGTAGCAAATGCAAGGAAGCAACTGAATAAGACAGTCATACTCCATTGCCTAGTTATTTGGCCGATATGGAATTCCTAAACTTATATGGACTCCAATCAGTAATGCCTGTAAATTTGAGACAAATACTAAGCTGCTGAAAAAGGCAGAAGATAGAGAAAAGGCGCGAAGAAGCATGGAAAACAATCCAATGGTGTATACTGTGGACATTTGAGTAAAAAGAACTAGCAGGATATTTTAGGGGAAAAAAGATTGTATCTCTTATGTAAAGTTGGAATGTAGTTAAAATTTGCATATCTGGAGTAAAAGGAATATATAGCAAATGACATTGAAGATATCTTGGAATTAATGGAGTCCTTGCATAGGAGGAGGGCAACAGGAACTTTTGAACATATTTAGTCCCTTCTTAGCACTATTTGTCCAATAAAATTTACCATTTATTATCAAAAAATTGAATGCCAACTTAGATTCATGTAGAATCATATCTAGTCTAAAGAATGGAAAATGGAAAATTGCGTGATTAGAGCTGAACTTTTGAACATGTTCAATTCCTACCGGGTGTTTCCTTGCCCTTCCCTTCCTGGGGTTATTCTGGCAGTTCAACAAATAACAGACTACCCCTTCCGCCTCAAAAAATAATGATGGGGCTTGAAGTGTAAGGTCAAAATATCTATTAACGGCTGACCTTGGCCAGTATTGCCTTTGATTTTTGGGAAATAAGATTTACATATCTAGAAATCTTATAAGTAGGAGTAGTACAGACCAAATTCAGAAAAAGAAAAACTAAAATGCATAGAAGACGTTTAAGAAAACCAGAGTCGAGGAAAAATGTTTGCACTTTTCAAATAACAACAGTGAGGTACAAATGGAATCAGCATGTTGATAGTAGCCTATATTATGCGATGTAGATGCTATTATGCTCTAAGTTAACCATACTTATTGATGTTTTAAGTGCTAAGTGATAATAAAATGCTCTAATTGAGGTTTTTATGCTTTGCAGGAACCACTCCGAGTTAAGAGGAGGATATAGAGTGTTTTTGGGTCAATTATGTAGATACAAGGCCAATCGAGAAGAGCCCGGATGAAAACGAGCAAGAAAAGTCGAAGAAAAACTGGGCAACAGTCCACCACGACCGCGGCTGGAACGCGGTGAAAGAAAGGCGAAAAACAGAAAGTCTAAAATGACCGCGGTTGGCCCGCGACCGCGGTCGATCTGGAGAAGGCCAAGAAAGTTTAAGGGCTAAAGTGTAAAGCGTGAGAAACTTATCCTAACCCTATATAAACTCAACAAACTCGCCCAAGTCAAGGTTAAGCTTGCTTTTAGACTCAATTGGAGGCAAGAACAAGTGTGAGAAGATCAAGACACCATTAGAGTTTTTCATTCCTCTTCTTGTTATCATTATTTTGTGAATTATGAATGATTTTATGGTTTTATCTTGTTTTATCATGAGTAGTTAAACATTTTAATCTAGGGTTGATGGAACCAATTGTTAGATGAAGTTTTGACTCAGTTTTGTTATAATCGAACCGGGTTTATTATATGATTGTTCAACTATGTTTTGTATCGTGATTAATTGAATGAGCCCTTGATTAATTGTGTCTAATCGCCTTGTGTTGCTTGAGAAAGAATACTAGGTTAGATTATTATTGAACAACACCACTTTTGGGTAATTGAAGAGATTCATTACTTAAATTTAAAAGTGGGGTTAGTAATAACGAAACTTTGGTGGGATAACTCAGAGCTGCATAATTATCAGCTGGAGTAGTTCGAGAGAATGATCTAGTAAATTATCGTAGTTGATCGAGAGATAATTGCGGTAACCCATAGCTCTCATAGAGTATTACGGCGAGATTATAGCGAAAGAGTTAAGAATTAATCTAGCAATTGGAGAAGTCAATACCCTAGATCTTTTTACCATTGAATTATCTTTAATTTGGAATATTGTTAGTTTTAATATCATTTTACTTTAGTTAAACAAATCCCAATATTTATTGATAAAAATCTTGCATCCGGGAATTGTTTGAGCTTGTACTAGCATCACTAAGAGTTGTAATAGATAGGATAGTTCCCTGAGGATTCGACACCGGACTTGGAAACCGGATTATATTTGCAACGACCGCTTTGTCTTTTATAAGGCATAGTTGGGCGTGATCAAATTTTGGCGCCGTTGCCTGGGAACTAACGGTGTTATTAATTACAACTTAGAAGTAGTGCGAGAATTATTAGTTTAGATCAATTTTCTACGGTGTTAAATAATTTTTCATTGAAATTCTCACGTTTGAACTCTTGTGTGATTCAGGTGTATGCCTAGAAATTCTTCGAGGACTGGTGAACTGCTTGAAGGACTCTCAGACCCCGAGAAAACATTCAGGGCATTAAACCGTGCCAACAAGAAGAACAAACAATCACAACAAACACACCAACTCTCAACTGAAATGGACAACAGGGAAAACATTAATGCAAATGATCGGGCACCTCTTGTGCCAGACGAAGGAGTGCCAAACGAAGCAATGGTGGCACCTCTTGTGCCACAAGCTGCACTTTATGATTGGGCACAGCCAACAGCTGACAACCTGGCCACCGCCATTGCTGTGCCCCAAATACAAGCGGAGACATTCCAGATCACCGACAACATGCTGCATCTTCTGCAGAATAAAGGATTGTTCTCCGCGTCACACATTGAAGACCCTCAACAACACCTGAAAAAAAATTTGTCGATTTGTGTGACCCAAAGGCAGCCAAATATGACCACAGAAGCCATCAAGCTGTTACTGTTCCCGTTCTTTGTGACTGGGGAAGCTCAGACTTGGCTGAATTTGCTCCCAATAAATTCCATTGCCACTTGGGAGGAATTAGTCAAGAAGTTTCTGAACAAGTTTTACCCGCCCAACAAGACTGCAAGACAGATTGATGAGATATTGCGGTACAAGCAGACGCTCACTGAGACCTTGCAGGAAACTTGGGAAAGAATCAAAGGGATGCTAGTGAAGTGTCCCCACCATGGTATTCCAGACCAAATGCTCGGCCAGAGATTCTACATGGGGTTAGCAGACAATTTAAAGCCAATGTAGAGATGCTTCAGCTGGGGGTGCATTCCTGAGCAAGACATTCACAGAGTTAAAATCCTTCTTGACAAGATGGCCCAGAATTCGGGGTGGATGACGAGAGGTACGACCCTGACACCAATAGTGCATTCAGTTCCTCTTGACCCATATAATTCACATGCAGAGAACATAGCCACACTCATGACTCAGATGAGTATACTGACAAAGAAGATTGATGAGATGGGTACAAAGCAAGTGCATATCGTTGACACAACAAATGGAGGACTGTGTACACCTTGCATTAATCAGTCTTATGTGTGTTCATGGAGTGGAGAAGGTGACAACCAAGGGTTAAGAGAGGATATGAATTATGTCAACAATTTTGGGGGTCAGAGGCAAGGAAGACAACAATGGGGACCAGCACCCAGCCAGCAGTACAGACCGAACATGCGACAACCTGGAGGTATGCGACCCCAAGGCCAAATGGTGCCAGATCAGAGAACAGGGCAATCAACAGCAGCACCAGCAACAGTTGACATATCAGCCACCTCATCAGCAACAGGACAACAACATGGTAGAAATCAGGGGTATGCTGCAACAACTCATTGGAACAAATGGTAAGATGCAGGAAAAGTTGGCAGTGCACGACTCAGCAATTAAGGGTATTGAAACTCATCTGGGGCAGCTGTCCATGGCCTTAAATAACCGCCCCCAGGGAACATTGCCAGCAGAAGATGAATCAGCAGAACTCACTAAAGTGGTGGTTGAACAGGCTCAGGTTGATAAGGGTAAGGCTAAAGAAAGTGAACAAGTTGCAAAACAGGTGGTACCTGTTGTGCCACAAAATTCCAACAAAGAACAGCCAGCAAGCAGTGGACAAAGAGTGATGCCTGCACCATTCCCTCAGAGACGGTCAAAACAAAAGAAAGAAGATCAATACAGAAAATTCATGAAAATGCTTCGCAGATTCAATTGAATATCCCTCTGATGGATGCTTTGAGGGAAATGCCAGGCTATGCAAAAATGATGAAGAACCTGATGTCACGGAAATTTGACTTCCAGGACCTGTCCACAGTAACTCTGACACAGTCACACAGACATGCAGCGCGATAGTGATAAGACCCATGGCTCAAAAGATGTCTGATCCAGGTAGCTTCCGTGCACTATTGGGAGTTATGCTTTTGCAAAAGCATTGTGTGACTTAGGAGCCAGCATAAACTTGATGCCTTTGGCAATATATACAAAACTGGGCATTGGAAGAGCTAGACCGACTTCGATGCTGTTGCAACTGGCTGACCGCACGGTTAAAAGACCGACGGGGATTCATGATGATGTGCTGGTACAAGTGGGAAAGTTTGTATTCCCTGCAGACTTTGTTATTCTGGACTGCCGGGTAGATGAGGAGATACCCATCATTCTGGGGAGGCCATTCTTAGCCACTGGGAGAGTATTGATTGATTGTGAAACTGGGGAATTAAAAATGAGGTTGAACGATGAAGAAGTAATATTCAACGTTCAACAATCCATGAGGAGACCCAGTGAATATGCAAATTGCTCACTAGTGGAAGCTGTGGATGTGATCCTGTATGAAGAAGATGAGACCCTGAAT